AGCTTTCAGCTCCAAAACTCTGCCCATGTCAAACTCCCATTGACAGTCTGTTGGTGCAGGAATCCAGCCTGACTTCAGTGTGGTGGGAGGAACATGCTGCCACTCTGTGTTTTCTTTCAGCAGCCTTCACACAACTCACTCATAGGAACATTTAAGGATGTTATTTCGTCTAAAGAGCAGAGGAGGAAGCGAAGTATTGGATAGGATACTAAATTGTTCCAGCATTTCGAAGGCATCATGTGGACTTACATAGCAGAAGACTCTGCAGAATTAGTATCTCCAGTAAACAAGCAACTATTTCCATGAAGTGAAGGGGTTTACACTGGTATTGGTACGTGCAAATGTACAGCCTGGCTCTCCCAGCCTCGTAGGTTTTGCTCTGAAAAAGAAGAGAGGGATCAGCCAGGTAGTCTTATTACTCCAGCTCAGTACTGAAATTCAGAGTGAGCCTTTTTTCAGTTCTGGGGCCCAGTCTCTGTGTCTCTCCCTGTGCGTTGCCAGGCTGTGTAAGCACCAGTGGGACTTATCTTCGAGGCTTGCTGCAGAAGCGGTCAGTTCTGCTCGACCTCTTTGGCCATTCGCACTCCCTTCCGCTGCAGGGCTGGCTTTTGAGCTCTACCCTTGGTTAATTTAGATGCATTGTCCATGATATCTCAAATAGTGCAGGAAAAATTAGAGAGAATTTTGTAAATCTAATGTAGAAAATAAACACATAAATACTTCTGTGCTTGCCTGCTGGTAGAATCAGTCCCTGATTTTTGTCATTAAAGAGGAAGAGAGCTTCAGGTCTCATGTAATAGGCAATTAACCACCATGCTACATCAGAGTATGGAGAGGTTGAGGCTGCCTGGGCAGCTGTGTGAAGAGTACATTTGCACCTTGCTAAAGGAATGATTATTGAGTAGAAAACAATAAAAAGTTCAAGGGAGAATGCACTTTGCTTATTTACTTCTGTTTTCATGAGCGGTTTGGGCCTTCCTGACCTTGGCTTGTCAGCAGACCTTCAACAAGTCATTGCTGATACAAGAGCCATTCACTGGTTTGAGGAAAAAGAGATGGTGGTAATGCTGAAAAATCCATTTCTTTTAACTCAGGAACATAAGCATTCAGAATGAAAGTATCTTAGCTGGAAGGTTTTTTAAACAGCCAAAATCAATGAACAAATAGTTTAACTAATCCTAAAGCCTGATGTAGATTATTTTGTTCTCATTGAAAAAATAGACAAAATTTTGCCCCTCTTGGTACCCTATTGACAAAATCCAGTTTGTCCTCAGGTTTATCGTCACTCCACATGTCCTGGCTGCCTCTTGGGGAATATATATGCTTGTTCACAGCTCTGCTAGGTCAGGTTGTAACTCACACAGGGGAACCAGCATTCTTGTTCCTCCCAGCCTGGATTAAAAAAGCAGGTAGTGTTACAAAGGGGACAAAGCACCAAAGTAACCTGTCTCTAAGGTATCCAGTGCTACAAGTGCTCCTTCTGGCAATCCCAATTAGTCTTTTCCATTTAAATCAAAGTTGGCTTCAAGCTTGCCTTCAGTGTGCACGCAGGAGGAGTGATGCTTCCGCCCACCCGATTTCGCTGTGGTGCCACGGAGCCCCGTCCCGGGAGGTGCTCCAGGAGCAGCGGCTGGAGCCGCGCGTTGCCCACGCGCTCCTGGGAAGGGGGTGCCGACTCCAGCAGGATCTTGCCTTTATATTGGCATTGACAAAAAAGGCTGAAAGGCAAGACTTTCAGCCAGATAAGGTTAAAGAATTAAAGATTCTGTATTTCCTTTTGCTGCCAGTCAAAATAATAGGCATAGAAGATTCAGTTTAAAATAGCTGAGCCTTTTGACTTAAAGGGTTTTCATGTAGAAGATTTAAGATGTCAGGTTTAAACATGACACTGATAGTATTAGGCAAAGTATGGGAGCAGATTCTTGTAGTAACTGTCATTTTTTCTGACTGTTTATTAATGGTCTTTTGTGATTTATAGTGAATGTTGTGAAGGATCTTCAGGTCTATTTATCACTGAAAGAAGCACCTTTTTTTCTTAACATGAATGTATGTCATAATTAGCGGTGGATTCTGCTTAAAGATTTAGCTGTATCCTTAAATAAGATCCTTCAAGACAATATTTAATCCTAAATAGATTGAATAATTTTTGCATCAATCAAGCAGTATATTACACAACTGGCAAAAATCAACAGCAGTAATAGGAGCTCACATTAGACAGAAGAATAGAGAGTCTAGATTTTCACTCCAGATAGATAGAATTTTTCACCCCATTTTGAAATAAATTCTAAGACACCTGTGTTTCAACATTCACCTTTATTAATATTTTACTATACACTAGAAGTACATCTTTATATCCATGAAAGGCTCTGAAATTCGTCATGTACTTTTAGAAATGCTTCTTTAAAAAATATTTCAGAATAACTGCCCATTTTTACTAATGACCTTTTTACTATTATGGCTGTAGCAGTGAACCTAAGTGTCTGCTTGTGTTTTTTTGTTAAGGTATATGTACTTCTGCGGCCCCCCCTTATGCTACAGCTTGCGTCTGATGAACGTAAATGCACTTGGTGTCTCACAATACTATCTGTATTAAAAACAGGGAGGAGGTACCGCAAATTGAATTGTTTTGCCCACATCACCCATGTAATCCTGAAGAGAGCCAGGAATTCAATGAGTTATCTAAATTCTCAGCCCTCTTCTGTAACCACAAGGCAGTCTTTCTTTACACAGGCGTAGCAGTCAACTCCATCAAGGGTGGAAATATTTATGCCTTAATCATTTGTACATGCTTACTATCGCTGTTATGCCTCTAGCACCAGTCCTGCTGTCTCACACTTTGTATGGGATATAGTGCATGGAGAATGCTACCAGTTTGTGAGCAAGTGAAGCTCATTTGGCAAGATATTACCAACTTTGCTTGGATTGGGCTTAGTCTTTATCTCGGGCCTTTTTCATATTCTTTGCTTTGTTCTTCATGCTCCTGACAACAGGCGCCGTTGGAGCAACTTTGGGCCTTCTCTAAATGGGTGGTTTTAATAGGCTGCGAGAGGCTATTTCCCCTTCCCTGGCTCGCAGGAACTGATGTCCCTGGTTCATCCTCTTTGCTCTGGTCTGGAAATGGTTATGTTGATAGGCTGCTCCCAAGAGGTTTCCCCCAGAGAATAAATCCTCAGACAGTTTCCTATGCTGACATTGTGCTGCCTGTGCATAGCACACAGGGGTGAGCAGCTGTGTACTGAAAAGCTGGGGAAAATCAGGATATGCCTTTTGGCAACTTCTGATTTTTAAATATTTTTTTCAATATTAAAAACCTCAGAGGTGTTGTTTTATAAGAGGAAAGAAAAAGATGCTACTTTCTTGTGTTTTCTGACTACTTCTAATTCATTGCTTAGCATGTTAAAATTATCTTTTCTGAGACAGCAGATGAGGCTGGAGGATGTTGGAGGTTTGGAGGCTTTGTGTGGACCCATCACCACCAATGTGTCTTGGTCTCATAGCTCCCAGGTCTGTTCCCACTGGGCCCTATAAGCTAAATGCTGTTCCCTGTTGGAACTGAGCTAGAACTGGGTCAGAATTGAATAGTATAGTTAATTTATGATGTAATGTATCCAACTTTCTGCCCTTTATGAATGGGGAAAAAGTCAATAGTTTACCTTTAGAGGTTCACTTCAGAGGAGGAGACAACATTTTTATCATGAGCACACTTGAATTTTTTGTTGCAAGAAGTAAAATCAAAGCGCAAATAAGTGACTCATCAAAAAATATTTTATGTTCACTTCAAATTATGAATTAGTAGAGGAGTAAATATGTACCTGTTAACTTTCACAGAAGATCCACAAAATATTCTGAAAGATGCAGTATTCCACATTTCCTTTGTGGAAAATAAATCCGTTTCTATGTATCAATACTCATATCCAGCTTGATTCAGTGTGGCAATATTGATATAATAAAGTGGTTCCATTTACATCAAACAGGGCCCTTTGGAGTCTCGCAGTAACAAACAGTATTTTTGTTCTTCTGGATGCCAGGCAAACTGTAGTACATCAGACCATAGTACGAATAATATTCTCTGACACTTGAATCCATGCACTAAAATATTGTGTATCAAAAAGTCTATGTACATAGTGTTCTCTGGATTGTATCACGTGCACAAAATTGTTTCCAAACTCTGAGGTGAGCGGGGTGATGCAGGCACAAATCATGGATACAATATTGCTTTTAATATGCAAAATTCCCTTCCCTTCCATGTCAAGTGTGTATAAGAACACTGTGAAATTGGAAGGAAAGCCATTACCATACCAATAGTTCAGAAAGTTTTTTATGTGCGCCGTTAGGGATGTGCCATTAAAATTCCTCCTCTTCTGCTGTTTGTTTTTTATAATTTCACAGGCACTTTGATGTGTTACATCTGTACTTTAACGTAGGTGTGAGCAAGAGTCAGAGCTTACTGTAGCCCAGCAATAAAACCAGGAAAAAGGTCAGAATAAGATTCAACAGTAGAAACAGTACCATGCTTAAAGTCACATTGCAGATGTATATACACAGTTCCACCTAGGATTTGTGGCTAATGTAATTCTTTATTGGAAGGCTTTGACCTTGTTACAGATTCTTGGCAGCTTTTCCCCACTCTATTCATTACTAATGCAAGCTGTCAATCACTTTAGTTCTGCTTTGACATAGATTGTGGCTCATAGGAGTTAGCTCTGTCATTCTTTTTATTTCTTTCATCTTTACTATCCGTTTTTATGGTCTTTAAAGCTGAAAGTATAAAAGGGTTGTATGTATGTGAAGAAAAAATCTGTTTCAGTAACTCTATCAACCTAGTTATAAACAATCTTTGATTAAAACAGTTACTTTTGAACACTATAAAATGGCAATGTGGCTTTTTACATACAACATCTTGTAAATTACCCTCCCCCTCAAAATAAATCAGAGCTCGTATTTGCATTACGGTGTTCAGGATTGATACAGGCTGCCACATCCTGAATGGCATATTATAGAGGGTTGCCTTCTCCGTATGTTTTGACATGACAGAGCCATCTGAAGTGATGTCTTATTCTTGCGCACTAATATTAGCAAAAGTAACAATTTCCACACCTTATTTCATTTCACTGGACCTAGGTGCTGATTAATATTTAAAAAGGGCTTGATACCAGTTTTCAGTTCCTGTGTCAACCTGATCTTGGAAAGTTTAGACTTGAATCCTACCAGCCTGGTGATAAATGATTAAATACTAACCAATGGAAAGACAGTGAACAAATCATTCACAGCAATTGTTTTCTTTAAAATGCAATCTGGTGGCAGTCATATATAAGTGTGAAGATATAGACATGAACAATTCATTATATATTAAAAAAAAAGACAGCTCCTTTTCAAATTAGAGGAGAATATTACTTCCTGATAATGGTGTAAGAATAGAAGAGAAATAAAACTTAGTTATTGAGCAGTTATGGTATTAAATTCTGACACTAAATATTAATCTGCAAGGTGCTGCTCTATTATTATCTACTAGAATAATGAAGCAGCCTTTTGGAACATTTACACAGAATTCAGCCACCCCAGTGACTCCTACTAATGTCCTTCATGTTCATACTGGTATTTTTGTAGAAATGGGCTTTCTGCAGGAGAGATTGGGCTCGATTCTGAAAAGCTGAAGCAGAATAAAGTGTAGTGTGAGGGAGAACAATAGCATCCCCCAAGAATAAGGTTGCAGTGTACCTTTGTAGATACCTTAGCACTCGCACCCCGTTTTTCAGTGCCCTGTGCAATCAGAGCCTTTGTTCTGAAAAATGTACAGTTTAAACAGGCAAGTCAGATAAAGGGTCGGCAACATAATCCCCCTTTTGCTCAGCAGGATCAGATGCACAGAAATATTTCTTCTCAGACACAAAGCAAAATTCATCCAAGTCCCAATCCAGTGCCTTACCAGGAAGACCAACCACTCTCTCTAGTCTGCAGCCATTTTTCCAGTAC